GGGTGGGCGCAGTGGGGGAGGAGGGGTGGGCTCAGTCGCGGAGGCGTGGGCGTAGTCGCGGAGGAGGGTGGGCGCAGGGGGGGAGCGCCGACGTAGTCGGTGAGGAGGGCTGGCGCAAGGGGTGAAGTAGGGTTGGCACAGCTGGCTGTGTGAGTGTCCCCTTTGTCGTTACTTTTCTTTGGACGTTAATTGTTTGTCTACGGAAGGAGAGAGAGAGAGAGAGAGAGAGAGAGAGAGAGAGAGAGAGAGAGAGAGAGAGAGAGAGAGAGAGAGAGAGTTTGACACGCTGTCCGCTAGCTGATTCTGACACGTGCCCGCCTCGTTTCGTCTTTGCCTTTTGTCTTCCAGGAAATGCTCCAAGATGCACGCACAGCATTACGGACAGCATGCTCGAATGTTTCGCAACGCATCACAGCAAATGCCAAGCAGATTGAAAGCGAGCAAATACCTGTTTAACGTTTCGTCTTTGCCTTATTTCTTCCAGGAAATGCTCCCAGTCATACGCTACAAGACTTGCTGATGGACAACACTTGCTCGCTTATGATTGCAGGAAGCTTCTTACAACTACCCCCGAGCGACTTTCAATCGCATTGTCTCGGCCCACTGAACTGAGACTTGCACACACACACACACACACACACACACACACACACACACACACACACAGATGGGGTTGGTGCGAGTAAAGTTGACCGCTTTTCTCAGGGGTATAGCTAACTCCGGGTGACGTGGTGAGTCTTTGTCCATCAGTCAAATGCATCCTGGGCAGACTGTCGTGGTTCAACCTCCTGATGAGTCGGTGGAAGTCCGACGAAACAGTCTGGCACAGTCATGCTTTTCCAGTGGAGTTCTGTATAGCGAACATGATAACACACACACACTCATACCCACACCCACACATACACCCACACCCACACCCACACCCACACACACACCCACGTCCACACACGCTCACACCCACACCCACACCAACACCCACACCCACACACAGGTGGTTTTGAGTGGATTGCTGTCATCATTAACCCCTCCCTATAGGACAAAGGCGAAGAAGGAACCCCTCGCATGTGGAGGATTACGTTCTTGAGATCCAGAAAGAGATGGCACGATAGGACAAAGTCGAAGAAGGACCCCCCCCAATAAGATGTCCTGTTTGGCAGAGGAGTTTCCTCCTATGCGAGTTCCAACTGCACAGGCGAGTTAGCGAGTAAGCAGCAGGTGACAGGCGCGTGACAGGTTTGGCTGTGGGCAAGTGTGCAGGCACGTGACAGGTAACGTATAAGATGATTGTCCATGGTCTCCATGTGGTACACTGTATTCGAGTGTACCGGCAAATGGAGGACTGCTAGTGAAGCACACACATTGGATGATGCAGCGAGAGAGACGCTCTATGATGTGTGATGGAGATGTGCAATCGTCAGCAAGATTTGTATCCATCAAGCGGCCTTGCACTTGACCTCTGTCTATATCGACTGTTCTTGTCAACGTTGGCATCTTCAAGGTACTTGGCCCAATGACGAGGTGGGCCAGCGCAGGTAGATAAGGTGTAGGCTCAAGGAGGGCTATACGCTATAGGCTCAGGGAGGGCTAGCTTCTAGAGTTTAAGCCCTTTAGGGTTTGAAGGGAAAGGGGGGAAATTATATAGATGAGAGAGAGAGAGAGAGAGAGAGAGAGAGAGAGAGAGAGAGAGAGAGAGAGAGAGAGAGAGAGAGAACTGTGGTTAGGTCGACGTGAATGCTGTCCATGAATCGCATGACATGGAATCTGTCGAACACAACGCACCCTCATTCTAGATGATGCAAGATGTGCTTTTGGGCCTCCCCACACTACTCATCAAATGCAGAAAAGACAAAAGTGATGGCGGTGCATCTTTCCATGTTCTAGCGGAAGATTCATTCTCATTTTGTACATTTGGTGAGTAGTGCAGGGAGGCCCTATGGCACGTCAAGAACCGTCCAAAGCGTGAGAGTAGCAAAGTCAAAGCTACGATCTTCCCCGCGAATACAATTCACCCTTATTTTGGCTGCACCAGACGGGAAAGATAGCTTGCATACATTCGGTATAAGGGTGCCGTAGTGTTCGGGGGAAAACGGTAGCGTTGTTCTCAGAAGAAAGAGCTACACAAAAGGAGGAAGAAGGAAAGAAGGAATGCATAAAGGAATAAAGGATAGAATAAAGGAATAAAGGAATAAAGGAATAAAGGAATAAAGGAACAAATCTTTGAGTAGATCAGCCACTTTGTGCAGAATTCGATCCAACATGCCCAAAGTCCCGGGAAGAGGAATCCGAAGGGTGTTCTCACGCCCGGCCTGTGTGGAACAGTGCAACCCCACCCGTCAAATGGACACTGAGTGTAGAGAACCAAAGGACGAAGAAGAGGAGGAGGAAGGACAGGAAGACGAGAAACATGATGATGAAATTGATCCCAAGATCTGTGCTCGCGAATGCAGCTGCTGTGATACTGATGAGGTAGTTCCATGGGAAGCTGTAGACACCGAACACTTGGAGGTGTCGAGGATTGGGGGAGTTGAAGTTGGGGTGCATGAAGAAAGCTGTGGTGGTGGAGCAGCAGCAGCATCGTCTTTGGCTACGGAAGAACCACAGAGGATCGGGATCGGGATCGGGATGAGAAAGGTTTCAGCTGAGGGACCTGAGACAACTGGGTCTGAAAAGGCGTGGTGGCGTCGCTGCAGCACAAGCTTGTGGCTCTTCCCGACCAAGAAGGCCCTACTAGGGAGACGGCGAGGCCAACGAGGTAAAGGGCAAGACAAGCCCTCAGACAACCCCTCGGTGAGGTCTGAGGAGTGGACTGTGCAAAACTCTCCTTCGTCTTTGCGGCTAATCATGATTCATATTCTTTTTGCTCTTCAGTCTCTCATGACACGCTTTGCTGCAGGCCTTGCAGTGCTGCTACTCGTTGGCCTCGCCGCTCTTGCAACCTTCGTCAGTTCTAGGGGATGGACGGGTTCATCCTCCTCTTGGAGGGACATGCTGCTATGTGGCAAACCATTCCTGGACAGGCAGAACCCAGGGGGGTTTCTCGTTGGCAAAGTCGGTGCTTCGTCTTCCTCCTCCTCCTCCTCCTCATCATCATCATCATTGTCCTCCATCTACTCCACGGAGTTGACAGCTCTTATGGAAATTGGGGAGATACGTAGCAGAACTGTAGGGAAGCTGGCAAGAGAGGTTGCACAAGCTCTGATAGAGCTGGAGATGGTGGAGGCGTCCAGTAAGGCACAGCTTGCAGAGAAGGCTTCTTTGAATGAAGCATTGCGTGCAGAGTTGGACAATGCGAAAAAGCGCGTGGCAAAGGCCAAGAGAGGCGCCAAGAAATTGAGAGATGAGAGGATAAGATCCGAGGTCAAGCTCACCCAATTGCACCAAGTTATGGCTGAAATAGACGACGCACACAGGGCTGTGGACATGTGGCCGGTTGCGCAAGCGGTGGCATTCCAATCCCTTGCAGCTCCTATTCAGGAATCTGTGAATGCCAAAAACTTGTCGTTGAGCATGTCGGAAGTCGATTGCCTTTCGTCAAGGGGTTCACAGGTAGTAGATGCTTCTGCACTCTTATGTTCTCCCTGCGTATCAGGCGATAACGGCCCACTACTTTTCTCCAGCGAAGGTTCATCCAGCAAGGCTACTGGAACATTTCTTCCCAACTCCAACTTCGAGACTGTTGACGGAGCAGAACTGACCACAACATTCACTTCTTCTTCGTCTTCTTCAGCTGCTGCTGCTGCTGCTGCTGCTGCTGGTACTTCCTCGGCTTTCTTGACCATGGGAGAGACGGAGACACATGAGGAGACAGAAAAGACATCACAGAACTACGAAAATGAGATTCTTGCCTCCCACGAGAGATCTGATGACTTGCCTCCCCCTCCTGCAGTTTGTGCCAGGTATTGCTGTTTCAATTGCTCTGTGGTCCTGTTTCCTACGCAACCACATGGGTTGTTCCTTGGAGACAGCTATCCAATGAACGAGGCATATCCGAGGGGCCACACTTACCGGGCCAAAGCCCACAATGGCTCCCTCTACCTTGTGCAATTTGACTGTATTCCGGGGATTCAGCGGCTGGGCACCTTGCCTTACTTCTATCCCAACCACCGGTTTCAGTGCAAGTCCAACGAGTTGTCAATCCGCAACCCGCTGGCCGCCCAAGCGCTGGCGGAAGACGCGGGTATGTCAAATATTCTCATCAGGTGTTGGGAGGCCTATGTGGAATCAATTACACCGAGGCCGAAGGTCCCAGTCTCGCAGAATGCTCTTTTCATGGAGTTGGTTCTGGGCATTCCACTACAGCAGCTATTGCCCCGTCCACTTCCAACAGCCATTTCGTCCCAAATTCTCGAGTCCTTTCAGCGGATTCCGGACCAAAGCATTGTGGCAGCAGCCATCTTCGATCTGCTCTTCCACAATTGCAAACGATCGGCGGCAAATGTGTTCATCGATGATAACTTTGACATTCATCTTCTTGGACATGAGCACACCTTTGGAGTCGCCGGATGCTTCCTCGACTCAATCTTCCTACCCCAGACCCCTCTGTTCCATCAGTTTGACAAAAGGTACCGACCGGCATTGGACTACAGGTGCCGTGTAGAAGGTGGCGAGATAGGCGTGAAATTCCCACCAAGGGTGAGGGAGTTTCTGGTCAAAGTCAGCAACACTCAGCCTGAAGACTTGAGCAGGATGTACGGAATTGCTAACAGCTTCCTTTCTCGCAAGGTGAAAACCATGGCGAAGATCATGCTTGCCCGTGGCTTTGAAGATGCTTTATCCATCACCACAGAGAGGGCGAGAGCTGCCGATGAAAAACTTCTCTCAGAAGGTAATCCACCTGAGACACTACATCTGAAGTTCCACCAACTTGAGGATCCTCTTTGCATCACCTAGGGAAAACTGAAGGACGTCCCTAGACACGCAACTTCTTGCATGATCGACATGGGGCCGTGCAGACATCCAGATGTATTCTGACAGGGTAATCGTTCTGTGTGGTTCACCTATTACGAAATGAGGATGCACCTGAACATGCAGATGGCCACTTGCATGGTCAGCACAATGGCATGCAGACGGCTAGGTGCGTGGTTGGCGTTGTGATGAGCAGATGGCCAGATGTATTCTGATGCACATTGCGGTAGTCACAAACTTCGACTGTATTGATGAATGACTCTCCCTGAAAGCAAAGTGCCATAGCAAACACCAGGAATGGAGAAGCGATGTCTCATTCTCTCTATTCACAGCAACAGTGTCTCTTCAAGAAGTGCTAGTACTATGAGACGATAACAGGCTCAACAGCTGTACTGTGAGCCCCACATTTATCATACTTCTCCTGTGGTTGGGGGGTTGTAAGTGGGCTCTCAGAAGGAGATAGTTCCTTACTCCTCCTCTGCCTCTGCCTTGTCCTGCTCTTAGTAAACCTCCATTTCGACCTTACTTCATGTACTGACACGTACCATGATTCAATGATCCATGTGTTCTCCGCGGCCGTAATTTTCTTTGAATGATTAACAGTTTCTTCCTCCTCCTCCTCCTCCTCGTCCTGCTGCTGCTGCTGCTGCTCTTCGTCTCGCTCTTACCCCACTTCTGCCTACTCCACAAACTGACAGCTGGCATAGTTCCTTGATGTGTGGTATAGACTAATGTGTGGCACGCCTACTCTGCACGCCGCCAGGTAGTTTTTTTTTTTTTTTTTTTTTTTTTTTCCCTGAAGCTGTAGATGCATTTCGAATTGAATGTATACAGTTATTCGATGTACACATATTTTATTTTATTTTTTTCAAATACTTACAAAACTAAGCTATATTCTTCTCTCAGATATAGCTCACAGTACCTAACCCCATGCCTACATCTATGAAAGTCGAGTCGAACTTTAAGAGCAGTCCACATCTGCACTGCAGCTGGAGCACACTAACGGTTATGGGTTGAGCCTATCCCCTCAGGACTTAACCTAACCCCTGGCAACGAATGGAAGGGGCATTGCCCCCTACCAACCAAACACGGGGGGCAAGCTGACTATCTCAGCTGGTGAACCCGCAGCACGCTGCAGGGGGCCGTGGGGAAGGCGTGGGGAATTGAACATATTCTGATTAGAATCCATAAGTAGCTAGGCTACTTGGCTCGCCAGGCCATGCACCCCGGGCGGCTTGCCCGGGGGTCATTTGCACAGGGCAACCCATGCAGGAAAAATCAGCACTTTATTTTCTTTCTTTTTTTTTGGGGGGGGGTGGAGGTTTTCTGCGCATGGCCAGAGGAACCCAAATCTGGGCTCCTTTCTTGTTTCGAGTGCTGGCTGACAAAGGGAGGGGAGGGGGATATAAAGTGGTTTTGGGAGGCTAAAGGGGTTTAAAGGGTTTGTTCTCATTTTTATCTTCAATTCCCTGGGGAATTCTGATATGACTCTCAGTTACAAGTCTTTTGCCTCGCAACTCTGCACAATATATCTTTTTGCTGGAACTTTTTTATTTTTTCCTTTTTGTTTTTTGGGCGCCGGGGCTGCCCAGAGCCCAGCCCCGGGGGTTCATGCTCGGCCGGGGACCCGGCTGTGCATTCAGGCACAAGTGGGTTGCCCGGGCGCCCAGACAAACAGCCTAGGTAATTAGCATTTTCTAATGTGATTTCTGATTAACGTTCATGTGCGGGTAATAAGCACACAGTAATTCAACTTCCCTTTTCCATTGCAATCTGTGACTACTCACTTTTTGTTTACATAGCCGTAACAACCATGACGCTAACTTACTGGGCTATCCGGCCCTGATCAGCCAGCTCGATCCGTCTGCCCAGAAGGGTCTTACAGAGAAACTGCCTGGATGCTCCGATGGGCGAACAAGGCCCAAAGAGACGTCTCTTCAGCCAAAGATTGGTATTTTCATTATTTCTAACATCAAATGAGCCCTAATCCAAGATTAGTTCAATTTATTTTCGAAACCATGGCTAGGCAGGGAACTGGACCCCAAATGCGTTTGGACTGAGCCTTGCCTGGGTCTGGTCTAAGACCATTTGGCTGCGGCCAGATCAGATACTAAGCAAGAAAAATATGTTTGGGGGCGTAAGGCCTGGGGGTGTGATGACAAGCAGGGTTGTACCGTGCAAGGGGGGGGACTGTCAAGGGGGTCATAAGATAGGAATCAAGAGATGCTTTACAAACCAAGTGGGATCTCAAGATGCTGTGAAGAAAAAAGAGGATAGGGAGAGGATGTTTGAGGGAGGTCACTAGATGCTTTATTCTGCAATGACCTGCACATATCACTCTCTGAGATTCTTGTGATTCCTGAGAATGTTCTGTTTTCTGAGCATTCCGAGTCTGGGTCTGTTCTTCTGTGATTTGCTGTGTTTTCTAAGTGTGTGCGTGACCTACCACTAACATGCATGTGCCGTGTGCTTGCTGGAGTTCAAGGCTGGGTGTGTGTGCTCAATCTGGTGGCTGTGTGTGTGTGGCTGTGCCTCAAACAGGGACAGGGTAGGAACAGAGAGACGGCCAGAGGCCGGACTGGAAGTTAGTGATAGGATATGCTGGGGGGGTAGTTCAGCTCCCAGGGACAAAAGTAGCACAGGACAAACTTGCTAACAAATATTGGGTCGACGCCAAAAGAGTGCTAATGTTCAGCCCTCGCGTTCTGGCCACTGTTGAAAAATATAAGGACATCGCGTCCATTGACTGGATGGACGTGGGAGCGGCCATTGTCTTCGCGGTCAATGAGTTTCTGGACAAAATAGAGTATGCAACTAACACACTTTGTTAGGAACAAACCGCACATGACTTGGGTCGGCCGGACCCCCAAGAACTTTGCACCACCCTGCATGGCCCCCCTATTGCTGCACCCACCTATCTGGAGGAACAACAGACACGCCCCCCTGTAACACAGGGGGGACCACAAATCACGAAGAAACACGAAGACCACATAATGATTGTGGTCACCATCCCCCGATCTCAGCGTCAACTTCGGAAAATCCAGATTGTGCACGACGACGACGAAGATGATGACACCTCGCCAATAGACTTGAAAACAGACACAATGAAGGATCGTCCCCCCCGGAAACTGAAAGACAGGGTGAGACTCCAAGTGGATGACGACGCCCCAGGGGAAACTCCTCCGGGAGTGGTCATACTTCCACTGACCAGGGAAAGGGATGGTGGCCAATGGCTGCTGGGACTCAGACCCCTTCTAGACTGCCATTCAGAACAGCCACCGGAGCCGAAGGGCCTTACAGTGGAAGGGTGGAGGGGCAACCCCTTTACAATGGTAATCCTCAAGCGTCTAAAATACTGGCGCCAAGAGACAGTCACAGATGGAGTCTTGGGTGCCGTTCTGCCTTCATCACTATCATTCCCGAAGGGCGTTATACCGGTCATTGTGATGATGGATTACAAAACCGCATCTCTGAAAACACCGACAAGATTTGCATGGTTTGCTCACCACAACCTCATGAACCTCTCCACAGACCGATTCAGAACAAATTTGGCCTGGTCCCTCACCCACGTCCTGTTGTTCATGCAAATCTTCTTAGAGGACAATGTGCTGGACGAACATAACCAGTGGGATGATCCACCATTTGTTCTCCCAGTAAAAACCAAGGACTGAATCGTTTATGGATGACTGAGAACTGAAGTGTCTGACCTGCAAACCATGATGGAAACTAATGCTGGCACAGACGTGCAGCCAAACACGCATTCACCAACCCCTAGGAATGGACTAAATGACAGGCATGATGAGGCAATTCCTCAACTTGTTCACCTCAGTGTGAACGAACTCCAAACAATGGGTCGGTATTCTGCTCACTCTCCTGAGGCGGAACTCCACACCATACACTCCACCCCCGCACACTCCTTCTGTCCCCCTCCTCCCCCTCCCATACACTTGCCCCCTCCAGTGCCTCTCCAACCCCCTCAACGCCCCCCATCCCCCTCGGTTTTCCCCCCGACTAGGAGGCAGCCCCAATGGGCAGCTAAGCTGGCACGAGCGGATATTGACATTCACTCGCTGAATGTGAACGGTCTGATTCAGGCATCACAAGGAAAACGGATGCCATATGGGACATGCTCAGGAGCCCGCTGACGAGAGCATGGCCAGATGTGATATGCATCCAGGAAACTCCTTCGCAGCACACACCAGCCCATATGGCAAAAGAGAAAAGTGTTTGGCCGTACACATCTTACTTTGCACCTGCTGTAGAAAGGGCATCTGCTGGAGTGGCCATCTGGATCCCGCCCTCTTCTAAGCTCAAACCACTCTCGGTGGACTACGACAAAGACCAAGGCAGATGGGTCTGCATAAAATGACAGTATGAAGGCGAATAGTTTTATATAGTCAGCGTTTATGCGCCAAATGACCCTGTAGAGAGAGTGGATCTTTGACTCGCCGTTCACCACCACTTGCCTCGCGACGACCCAGTTATAATAGCAGGGGACTTTAACACGACGCTTGACCCTACGATGGACCGCAGATCCGCATCACAACGTCAGACCTTGACGCCCTCCCAAGTGGCGAGTTGTGGCCTTGATGTCCTCATGTTGAAGCAACTTATGGCAGATAGACAACTTGAGGATGCGTACAGACTGTTGCACCCCACGCAAAAAGCATATACGTGCCTCTCGTCTCGGGGCGACCATGGTCTGGCCAATTCACGAATTGACCTCACACTGGTGTCGAAAGACGTGATGGGTCTCGTTACCACAACGGAAATCACTACGATTAGCCCATGTAAATCCTTCGACCATAGGATGATTACGCTGGGACTCTCATTCCATAACCATATACAACGAGGACCTGGGTTCTACTTCAATACCTCGCTGCTCCCCCTCCCCAAATTTAAAGACCTTGTCACCACTTTTTGGAAATATTGGCGAACGCAAAAACCAGAGTCGGGAGAAAGAGTGAACTGGTTCAACGACGGGGTGACGCAATTAAGGGAAAGGGCGAATAAGTTCTCCATCCAGCATGCCAGGGAACGAAAAACTCTCCTTGATAAACTCATGCCGGACCTAGAAGAATGGGATGAAGAACTGATGAATGACCCGCTGCACCTCCCCTCCTATTAGAGACTCCAAGAGGCTCGGGACCACCTCCAAGCCTACGTGGACCGACAGGTGCAGGCATGGAGAGTGCAAGCGAAAATAAAAAAGGAACACGCTGATGGAACAATGTCAAAAACTTTCTTCAATAAAGCTAAGGCCAGAGCTAGAGCTGCCACTGTTCCCAGGCTCAGGCACCCGTTGGACGACACAGCCCCGTCGGCGACCAACGCATACACAATTGTGAACTATGCCGCCAGATATTACACGAACCTCTTCACATTTGAGACCCCCAATAAGCAGCTGGACCAGGTCCATCAGGCGAGGGACACAATACTACAGGCCTTACACACGTGCCTCACGCATGAGCAAAGGGGCATTGTGGACAGCCCATTAACTCCACAAGAGGTTTGGGAGGCCC